TTCGTGATTTCACTCGTAAAAGAGACCCAAGGTATGGCTACAACTGTTGCTGATGCTTGGGTCGTGATAAAAGATCCCCAGTCTGATACCATGTTTTACGCTAACCCGGTAAGTACTCGTCCTTTTCTTGGAGATGTAAAAAAAAAAGTCTTTATGCTTCTTTGGCGGAAAATTGCTAATTGCTTTAACTTTAATAGGCAACTGGTGAATGTCTATTGGAGAAACCGAGGAATATACATTTATATCCAATACTAGGCGATGAATGGTGGGAATTATGGGATGATTATCATCAATTACCTTATTATTATCATTCCGTTACAGGTCAAACTGATTGGATTGTACCCTCATCTGGAACAATTATTCCCCTAAGAAAAATACAAAACTCTTCAATTGGAAAAAGATTATCCGCTGTATTCGCACAAGACGATAATTTTGATCTCATGAAGGCTGCCGCTGGAAATAATTCAAAACAAATTAAAGCATCAGGATCGTTATTATCTCCTAATGGTAATAATCAACAACCATTGTCTACGGCTTCGATAAAAGTTTCTCATCATCACAAAGGAGAAGAATTTATCCCATCATCATCGTCACGTGATGTTGATTCAATTAGCGTGAAAAGAGATAAATCAAAGAATTCAAATACGAACCGAATTACGTTTAACGATTCTGAGAACGCAAAAGATTTCTCTCAAAATTCTTCAGATAATTCAAGTAACAGTGAGACAGATGTTGATGCGTTAACACAGGTAAGGGTGGCGACGTGAGGATTTAACAAATTTTTAATTATAACACGTTAAAACCTTTCCCCTCCATATTTTATAGAAGCAATCGAGAAGAAATAATTCTCTGTCAACAAAATTTTCGAAATCAAGTACAACTTCATTTGATTCAACTTATGTCGCTTCCAATTCAACATCTCGTTCAGTAACCCCATCTAGTATAATAAACAATAATGGGTCCGATGTGCATGTAAATCACGTAAATCAGCAACAATCCTTCATGGCTGTTTCTCCAAAAAAGTCCTTTTTGGCCGCTGATAAGGCACGTAAATCCGGTATAAGTAATCCTGTAGTAAATATTGGTAAGTAGTTATATTATTTTTAGATTAAGGTAAAAACTTTGAAGTATCTTGGCGGAT